GTGGTTATAATTAAAGTTGCACTACTCAGATACTCAGACCTGTTTAGAGCTCGTTCTCGTGGACGTATTTTGATTTACTTTTTACTATGATATTCATAGTGAAAAGTAAAAGTATATTTTCTAGACAAATGGGGAAATAGTCAATTTTATGATATTAAGCTATGACATAATTAAAAATATGTTTTTGGTTAGAAAAGAATGACAAAAAAAAACTTATACTGTTTTCTTGCCTGAATGAAAAGGATTAAAATGAAAATAGATATGTATAATTAATAACCATGGTTCTTATAAGATTTCTGGATAAATTTTCTACTAAATGTTAATGTGTTTTTTCTTTTTTATTTATTATTGTAATATGCTTGTTTGAGAGACAAGCACAATATACTTTTAATTTTTAATTTTAGAGGAAACTCATTCATTGTCAAAAAGAAAAAACTTGTGACCAAAATGAACACAGTAAAGAAAAAGTTGAAAATGTAAACATGAATCAAATTTCAGATGCCTTCCATATTGATGAAACTAAAAATCTTCAAGAAAATGATCAGTTTGTCTATGATTCTTGTATGAAGATGACAAAAGAAGAGATTGAAGAAAATTCTATCAAATTTTTAACGGAAAAAGATTATTGTTTTGCATTGTTGTGTTACATATATATATTTGTATTTAATTCTCTACCCGCGTTCATTTTTCAAAATGGTCAAGATAATCTTGGTCATATAGTTTCAAAGGTAAGATCATAATTTTTTTTATGTAATTTAAATAGTAAATTTTGAATTTGATGAATAATGTTTTAGTAATAATTTGTTTTCAAAAGAACTTTGAATAAGTTTTTAATACACTTAAGAGTATTCTTTGGTTGATATATTAGTTTATAATTTCAAATATTTCTGAAATTGGATTATAAAAATTAGTTTTAATTGCTAGCAACTGTTATGAATATTTAAGTAATGAATCATATTCACATGAATAATAATTAAATTTTAATTATTTTGTTAATTTCACATTTATAGTTTCCTTTGTTAATATTTTCGTCTTACGGATTTTTGATATTTTCTCTTAATTACATTAAATTATAATTTAGAAAATTAGAATACATATCTTGTAATAAGCTAATGAAAGTAATATGATTTTTTATTAAAGATTAATATCAAAGAAATTATAATTACGATTGTAATATATTTATCAAACCTTATTAGGCAGTTTATNACAATTTTTATATAGGATTTATTCCTGATTGATTGGTCACAATATTCAAAACTTAATAAATCTAAAGAAATAATTAAAGAAACAATTGAAGAAATTTTATCTACTTATTTAGAGAGATGTAAAAATAAAGATTTATATTTTCCATTTTATTTTCAACTGATTACTTTAGAATTGTTTAATGAAAAGTAAGATATTTTATTAATAATTATAGTTTTTGCTTAATTTACTGTTGACAAATTGAAAAATGATGTATATGTTTTATAGTTATGATTCAGCAATGAATATCTGCAGGCAGTTACAAGAATTATCATCAGATATTACTGATACATGGTTATTAACAGCCAGAATATATATTCATCAATCTTTATTTGAAGAAGCAAGCAAGGTTAAATAATATACTATAAGTTTTTAAATACAGGTAACCCCCGTATAACTTGGGAGTTATGTTCCAAAAAATTGCCGTGTTATGCGAATCCGTGATTTACGAAACAAAGAACTAGTACGAAAAAGGAGGTTAGGTTCCAAAAATAAAAAAACATACTATTATATTTTCATAATTAAGATAAATATCTTTATTAAAATTTTCTTAAGTGATATGTTAATATAAATTAAACAATGTTTTTTTCGTCATCACTAAACACTATTAACCGAGGGTGTTTTCTTTTTGGCAAGATATCCTTATCATCTGAGCATTTTTCTGCATTGTCTTCAAATCCATGCTCTACCTTTTGCAAAAAAATATGTTATTTCAGATTGCTTGCTTTTAGTTAAAAGATCTTTATAAATTTCCTTACATGGTGCTAAGCACTTATGAAGAATAAAGCAAGTATAGAATAAGGGAAAAACATCTGGAAACACCAAAATCAGAAGCATCGAGATCAGGCAACACTGAAAGAAGTTTTGAGAAGGACCACGTGTATCGACAGAAAGCGGGAAAAGAAAATTTACATACTTAAGTACTAATAGTTCACGAAAATAATAATTTTCATGAACTATTAGTACTTAAGTATGTGAAAATTTATTACGTTTCATGTTGTACAAGAGTTTTACCCAATTCACAAACTGTGTTAGAGTGAATCTGCGCTATAAAAGCACCGTGTTATATGGGGATGTTCCCAATTCTCGAACCGTGTTAGAGTGAATCCATGCTATAGAAGTGCCGTGTTATACGGAGGTTACCTGTATAAGAAATTTTGTCATACTGTACATAAGTTTTTACATTTTTTTATTTTTATGATATATTTTTCTAATTGTTTTTAAATTTTGCTGATATTATACATATTTGATTAAAAATTAAATAATGAATTTTTTATTAATTAATTCACAAACACATGTTAAATAATTTATTAATGCTTCAATAATTTTTATTTTACAATAAAAATAAACATAGGTAAAGTATATAATAATCTGTTTATTAAATGAGAAAGTATTTTAAAAGTTTTATTTTTATGAAATTTATAATGAAAAATTTTTTTACATAGATTTTTGAAAAAGCAATAACCATTGCACCTTTTGATCCTTACTTATATTATGCGGCATCTTTATTTTATTTTAATAATAACAACACACATAAGGCAAAGGATTTATTAGAAAACTGTATATATAAAACTTTTAAAAATTCAGTCATGTCTTGTAGAATACCAGAAAGTGCCATTTCTCTTTATTGGTAAGTTTAAATATATAATATATCAAATAACTTGATTCCAGTCTTTATTGTTTTATATTTAATATAGTAA